GCTGCTGCTGCTGCTGCTGCTGCTGCTTGCTGACCGAGTGACCGCGACCCTGGCGTGTTCTCTCGTCTGAGGGCTGAGGTCGGAATTCGGGACGCGGTTATTTCTCCAGTGTGAGGTCGATAGTAGTAACAAAGATGAGGTTCGGCACGTGCACCTGGTCTGCCTCTTGTGGTTGTGGGTGTGATCGGGCGCAGCCGCTATTTTGAGAGGCCGTTGCTGGAAGGAGGCTGAAGGCCCAAGGCCACACAGGTGGTTGGGCGAATCGATTTCTGAATTTTCTTGGGACGGGCACGCGCCAGAGAGGCCAACTGCAAGCACTGGCCGGGCGAGGAGTTGTGCGCCTTTTTCCAGCCAGGAAGAAGTGTGCTCTTCTGTGGTTGGCGCGATGTGGCCAGTGCAGCGCCGAAGCAACTTCCAGCAAGGCAGCAGCAGCGAGGGCGCCCGGCGCCCTGCCTGAGTTTTCTTCACTTTTCGGCGCTGTGGGTCCCAATTTTTTTTCTTCCTTCTTCCTGAGCCGTGGACGCTTTGGTGCGGACGGGCCTCAGACGCTGGCTGCGCTGCCGCTCCAAGGCTTGTGGCGAGCGAGTGTTGTTCCGTGGCGGCAGCCCGCACCATCGTCTTGATCAACCACATCCCTCATCCATACTTCACAATGTCGCTCCCCGATTTCTCCCAGGCTGCTAACCTCACCAAGCTCGACGGCTACCTCGCCGACAAGTCCTACGTTGACGGGTAAGCACCACCTCTGCACCTGTCTTCTCGCACACCGCCACACTGAGTCGCACCACGGAGGACAGGAAGAAGGCCGCAGCATTCCATCTCAGACATGCTCTTGCCGACCTGGAGCAAGCCTCGCGTCGCACGGCATGTCTGGGAAGGCGCTCCGCCAGTATGACGCTCGTGCACCAAAGGGCGTGCACCCTGCTCGAACAACATGATGAATATTTTGCTTTGGTCCGTGTTTCCGAGCCCAGCGGCTTAAGACCCCGCGACCTTTTCTGCGTTGACGAAACCCAACTTTTCCAAGCTATCTGATCTTGTTCCCGTGCAAACACCGTCCTCGTGACACAACGCATGGATGATGGAGCCTCAAGGGAGGCACATGTTTCGCGGCGACTCAGTGCGGCCAGCCATGCAGAAGATCGCTCGCACACAAAGGGACAACAACGTTGCTGACTTTGTTTCGTTGCTTTCATCATCAGCCACTCGCCCTCGCAGGCCGATGTCGCCGTTCACGAGGCTCTCGGCAAGGCCCCCGACGCCGACAAGTTCGCCCACGTCGCCCGCTGGTACGAGCACATCACCTCGTACGAGGCTGAGCACAAGGACCTGACCGGTGACAAGGCCAAGGCCGCCACCCTTCTCTCCTCCACCTTCGCCGCCTCTGCCCCCGCCGCCGAGGAGGACGACGATGACGTCGACCTCTTCGGCTCCGACGACGAGGTCGACGAGGAGGCCGAGCGCATCAAGGCCGAGCGTGTTGCCGAGTACAACAAGAAGAAGGCCGCCAAGGGCCCCGGCCCCGCCGCCAAGTCGCTCGTCACTCTCGACATCAAGCCTTGGGACGACGAGACCGACATGAAGGAGCTCGAGGCTTCCGTCAAGGCCATCGAGATGGACGGCCTCGTCTGGGGCTCCACCAAGCTCGTCGCCATCGGCTACGGTGTCAGCAAGCTCCAGTGCTCCCTCGTCGTCGAGGACGCCAAGGTCTCGCTCGACGAGCTCCAGGAGCGCATCATCGACGAGTGCGAGGACTACGTCCAGTCCACCGACGTCGCCGCCATGGCCAAGATCTAAACATCTTTGCTTCCTCACCTCTGCGCTCTCGTCTCTCTCAACTCAAAGAATCGAGTTTGCTGTATACCGGAGTCACATCCACGTCTGCTTTTGCGTCTGTGCTCAGCTTCCAGTTTGGTCTTTCCACCGCTTGCTACAAGGAGATCATGAGAGAGTGGTGCCATTGCGCATGTACTGCATCGAGTCTAGACGTCTCGCTTCTGACCCCAGATGTGCTTGATGCGCGGGAAGCGCAGGCTGTAGACCTCGTCACGCTCTTCTCCCCCATCACCATCTCCTTTCCCTTTAGCGTTGGATGGTGCGAACGTCTTGGACTCGTCAAAGTACTCGACCGTGACGGCCTTGCCGATGATCCTCTTGGGATCTCTGGCGAACTCGACGCGCTGTTCAGAGGTGAATCCAGAGCCGACGGATACGCGCGTGCCCTTGTGGACGATCTGGATAGCGGATAGTGCCTTTCGCTCCTCGAAGCGTCCGTTGATGGGAAGTCGCATGGTGGCGGTGGTGATGCCCACCACCTTGTACTCGGCATCGCGCCACTGCTTGAACTTGCGGATGGCCGACGTACGCTTGCCCTCGTACTCCATGTCCTTGCGCAGCACGATGCCTTCCCACCCGCGCTTACTAGCAAGCCCAAGCATCTCCTCGACCTGCTCCGGGGTCGAGACCGTGTGTTGCGTCAGGCGACGCACTAGGCTCGGCTGACTGCGCTTGGCTGACGCGGCCTCGAAGTGCGAGACGAGCGATTCAAGCACTGCGAGTCGCTCGGAAAAGATACGTCCCTTTTGCTTGCTGGGGTTGATGCCGTTGGTGACGGCGTTGCGGACGCCCGTCTTGCGCGGCGGCGGTGGAAGCCTGGATCGCCATTTGGCAAACTCCTCCAGGGTGAGCAGGTCAAAGGGGAAGAACGCCGGGTCGGGGATGGTGTATTCCTTGCGCTTGATCAGGCCCACCACGGCGGCGAAGTCTTCCACCACCGAGAGCTCTTGATCTGCGGGCCCGGCGTCCCGTGCAGTGACGCTGGCATCCAACTGCTTGGCGGCAGGACTAGATGCCTTGTCAGGCGGCCGGAGCACGCACACTTCGCCGTCGAGGATCAGGGTGGTCTTGGGCGACGGCCTGGACTCGTTCGCAGAGCTTGCAATGTCTCGTTCCGAAAGAGGACCGAGCAAGTCGGACAAGCCAGGGAAGGACGTCAACATCGTCGAGATCTCGCGCTCCAGCACTGCCAGCGTCGAAAAGGGCCGACCGTTGCGTGAAAGCGAGGAAATCGACACGACCTTCCACGTCTGCGATCCGCTCGGCGAAGTCTCGGGCTGCAGACGTACGATGATGATGCAGCGAACGCCGTCGAGCTTCCGGCTCGCGTACCACTTTGATGCGTCTTGCCCCGAGAACAAGGTTGGAAGATTGGCTCGGGTGAGCGTGTTGCCGAGAGCCACCTCGAATTGCTGGCGAAGGGCTGCTGTCGTGGGCGACATCGGCGGGAGCTCCGGAATGCCTTTGAGTTTCGGCTGGTAGTTTGGACGGTGCGGTTCATGCCCGGTGAATGCATAGCATATGGTCTTTTCACGGACGCCGGCCTTGAGGTTGCGGTCGAGACAGCGGTAGAAAATCTCCAGCGCGGTCGGGCGGAGCAAACCGCGGCGGAAGAGGTCTGTGGTGGAGAGGCTGGGATCGTCGGAGCCGCTCAAGGCATACTCGTGCTGCTCAAGGATGCCGTGAGCCTGAAGAAAGATGTGAATCGTGGCCATGGCCTCGTTGCCGGTGATCTGACGGGAGGCCAAGAGGTAGAAGAGCTCCAAGAGCGTTTCCGGCACCTGTTCTCGAGCGTCCTGTTCCATCTTGTCGCGAAGAGCTGCATATTGCGTCTTGTTTCTGGCGCGATTCGAGGGAGCGGTGAGAACGGGAGCGTGCTCGTTGAGCCATTCCTTGTCCCTTTTCCTTTGGCGAAGATACTTGTGCACGGAGTCGGAAGTGGTGTGTAGACGGCAGTAGGGGTCGTAGAGGAAGGCTAGCAGCGGCCTGAGGTCATCGAACTCGGACACGACGCGTCTCTTGTCCAGAGTGGAGTTGGTCGAGTTGGCACGATTGATGAGCTCGCGAAGGCGTGTGATCTCATCGAGCGGAGATGCCTTTTGTTCTTGAAGGCTGCTTGGGGCTGGCCGGTTGAGAAAGTCGTAGGTCATATGGCGGCATGCTGGCGCAAACCTGGATCTTGGCGATGGCTGTTTTCGCGGGACAGCGTCGATACCGATCGAGCCGAGAGACCGAGTCCGAGATGTACTGGGACCGGGAACAGGCAGCCTCGGACGAGTAGCTGTTGCTGACCGTAACGCGGAACCTTGCGGCCGAAGCCTTGCGAGCACTGTCATGTTGAATGCAGCGTGCGACGAGTGCCGTGAGACATGCGCATGACAGTGGGCGAGGGAGAGGCCCGATGCTCTGTGTGTGACAGCTTCACAATTGGCTCGGTGTTGACGGGAGTCGTGGAGGATGTGAGGATCCAACGAGGAGCCCGCCATCCAGTGCAACAAAATTTCCGAAGCGAGGCGCCGAGCAGCAACACTTCACAAAACCTCCACCCCGTTGACAGGGGACGCGAGGAAATCTCACAGTTGCCCGCCACGCGCGAGCCTTTGACAAGAAGGTGTGGGTGGACCCTCAAAAGCGACTTGCTGCGGGTCTGAGCGTCGGAGGTTTGCCGTGCTGGTCGGCAACTCCAGGGCATCACCTTGCTCGATCCAACCTCTATCCTCCTTCGTCACATTCAAACTCGCCAAGCGCCCTCCTCGAAAGCCAGGATGAGCGCGGCTGTCTCCAAGCATGCCGGCAGATCCGACCAGATTGGCGCGCTGACTAGTTTGTTGGGCGAGTCGGGACAGCCGCTGCCGCCATCTTTGCTGCTTCAAGACGCATGCAGCCCCAACACCACCGCTCGGCTCGTGTCCGATGTGCTCGACGACCTGGCCTCAGCTTCACAGGGCTCCCTCCATCCGCTCTGCTGGTGCAGCGTGTCCCCACTCACCTCGATCAATCCCACGACGCTCTTCCGCAGCGTCCTGACTTCGCTCGAGCACAGCATCCAGCAAGCTCACGATCGAGCACGTACGGACACGGCCAAAGCCGTCGCTTCCGGCTCGAGAGGCAACTTCCGCCGCCCCGACACCTCGCTCGACTACTTTCTCTGGAAGCTCGGCACGCTTCTCGACACCGTCGATGCACGCCTCATCGTTGTCATCAAGGACGCCGAGCGCATCCGCGATCTCTGGCCCGAGCACGTCTGGACGGCCTTCTGCCGTCTCGCTCTGCTCGTAGGCAAGCCAGGAAAGATCGCCACGGTGTTCATCTCAACGCTCCCCTGGGCGCAGTACCGCACGCCCAGTGGACTTACCGTCTCGCATCAGCCCATCACGCTGCGCTTCCCACGCCTCACACGGCCCGACGTCCTGTCTCTACTCGCCCTCGACTTTCCGCTGCTCTGGAAATCGTACGACAGCTCGGTACAGGCGGCGCAGATGCATGCTGGCACTTCCATCGCGCTATGCAAGCGCGCCACGCTAGCCAAGCTCAAGAAGGCCAACTCGGGAGACCAGGTCTCGCAGGACGCCCTGCGCGCGCTGTACGAGCAGTTTGTCGGCGTCTTCTACGACTCGATCAAGTCGAACGTGCGAGACATCGAGGAGCTGCGCACCATGAGTGCCGCCGTCTGGCACTCGTTTGTCGTTCCCATTCAGACGCGCGAGTGCAGCACCGCCGATCTGCAGACGCTGCTCCTCGCCTCGTCGCATCTGTTCAGAGACGTGATTGTGCGGCTGCAGACCCGCGAAGTGGGCCCAAGAGAGTGGACGCAAGAAGCGCGCATTCGAAGCATACAGGCGAGTGCTGCACGCCTCGCAGCCGCCAAAGCACCGCAAGCCGCTTCGACCACAGAGCAGGCGGAGGACGAGGACGCGAGCATGGTCGACGAGGAGCGCAAGTTCGACGAGGAGGAGTGGCTCGAGCGCGAGATGGCGGCGTTGGACCGAATGCGCTCGGCATCTTCGCACGCAACCATGTCGTTGATGCCCTCGCTCGCGCTCATTCCGACGTTCCTGGTCATCGCCTCGTTCCTTGCGTCGTACAATCCGTCGCGGTTGGACGTGCGCTACTTCCTGCGCGACGACTCTTTGCTCAGTCTGTCCAGCGGTGCCTCCAAAGGCAAATCGCTCAAGGGCGGACGCAAGCTGGGTCCCGGGCGCGGGCGCAAAGCTGGAGCTGGGCCTCGTGGACGTCCTGCCAAATCGGCCCTGCGAGTGACCAACGAAGACGGCCAAACCGAGAATCTCAATCGACAACAGCTCCTCGGGCCCAAGCCATTCCCGATCGATCGGCTGCTGAGTATCTTCCAGGCGCTCATCACCGAGTCGGCACCCGAAATGTCGCTCGTCTACTCGTCGTTGATTCCCGAGAACGATCTGTCGGCGTCCAACGTGGATGCGTCCGGCGACAGATCGACACTGTGGGAGTACAGGAGCAAGTCGCTATCGGTCTATTCACAGATCAACAATCTCGTCGCAAGAAGGATGCTCGTCAGAACTTCGGCTCAGGACAAGCTCGGAACCAGCATCAACTTCCGGACCAACGTCAGCTACTCGGTCGTCGCCGTACTTGCCAAAAGAGTCCGCTTCGATCTCGACGAGTGGCTTTGGGACTGGGGCGCAAGCGGCGCCGGCGGCATCTAGACCATCCAACTTGACAGCAGTCACTTACACCAGCCTCATCGGAGCCACAGACACGCATTTGGAAATCGCCACGATGCAGGTACATTTGCGTGCAGCACACGTATACAGAAAGCGAGATGAGAAAGGAGGCTGCGAGGAACGAGAGCTAGAATGCCTCCCACTTCTGGCTGCCCAGCGCGATGAGTCGGTTGAACACCTCGTCGCGGCGGCCCATGGCCGTGAGCTTGTGGATGTTGCCCTGCTTATCCAGGATCTCGATGCCGTCGGCAACTTCGCCACCCAGTGCCCATCCAACCACGAGCTTGCCCTTCCACCCAAGGCCGCCCACCTTGTGGATCTCGGCGATCTCGTCGATGGCAATCGCGAAGCTCGCGCCGCGCTGCTGGACCAGACGCTGCGCCGTCTCGGCTGCCGAGGCAGTGGAGCTCGCGCCCTTGTTGGCTGCCACCGCGGCCGAGAGTGGACTGGTCTTGCCCTTGCGTTCGAATGCGATCGACGGCGTTGCTGCCGTGGTGAGGACGTAGGCGTAGCCGCGCTTACCGCGGTAGCGGCAGTGGAACTTGACCGGCCCATCGGCGGCATACTTTTGGGCGGCTTCTTCGGACCTGACCACGCCGAGCTTGGCCTTGGCGTGCATGGATTGGATCGTAGTCGCCTTGACGCGGTTGACGCCCAGCGCTGTCTCGACGCCCGCCTTGGTGACGCCTTTCAGCACGGCGAGCACCTTGCTGCTGCCCTTCTTACCGGCCTTAGGGTCGGTCGCCGACTCGTGCTCGCCCTCGGGTCGGCTGGCGACATCGTCGGCCTGCGCCTCGGCGAGCTGCTCTGCATACTCGGGCGGCAGATCCGGATGATCGGCCATGTCAGATCCGTGGAGGGCGCTGGGCGGAGGCGCCACGGCCGTGGGCGGCGGCGGCGGCAGGGGAGACTTGTTGGCCTCGCCGATCCGCAGCAGCGTGACGGTGAGCTGGGCGTTGGTGGGCACGCCACGAAGCAGCATGAATCGAAGCTCGAGATACTTCTTCCAGTCCGGGACGTTGCGGTCGAGCCAGGCGATGACCTGTGGGAACTTGACGCGGTCGATGAGCGGCTGGCCGAACAGCGCAAAGCCGAGGCCAAATGTGGATCCCTTGTAGATCATTGTCTCGTTGATGTAGAGGGAGGCGAGCAGGATCGGAAGGACGGCGCCCGCGAGGCGGTATCGCGGCATCCATCGCGAGAATGGGGGTGTGGGCGAAAGCGCATTGCAGAAACGCTCATAGTCGTCGCAGATGTTGTTGAGAATGTGCATGAAAGGAGCGAGGCTGGCGAAGATGGCCTCTTCCATCGGCTTCTTGGTGTGATCGCCCTTCTCGGGTTGTCCAGCCTTTTCGCCCGCGGCCTTGCTCTGCGCTGCCTGTGTGACGGCGGCGACGTTGGTGGGATCCGGAATCTTGTCTTCGGGATCCTTCTTGGGCGTCGAGCTAGTGCCCTTTCGACCAGCGGCGTCCGATTTGCCGGTAACGCTGCCATCATCCGAATCCGTGTCCTCCTCGTCCTGGGCAGCTACAACGCCGTCGTTGGAGGATTTGCCAGCTGCTGTGCTCAAGGCTACGCTTCCGAGGGCACCGACAAAGTTGGACGCCTCCTGCTCGACTGCCTCGCCCTCGTATGTCTCGGCAGCACCGGTTAAGCTGGTCTTGCTGCCCAGGTGGCCGGCCTTGGGTACCTTTGCCTGTCCGGTCTTGGGATCGATGGCGGCGAGGGGCGCGGAAGGGAACATGAGGAGTCTGGCACGTGGCGAGAGGATGAGAACGAGCATCAATGCAAGCATGGTGGGAACGATGACGTCGAGAAGCCATGCAGCCACATAGACCACCATGAAGCCACCGGTGCGCTTGGGCTCGGACCAGGAGCGGAGACGGGCGATGTGCTGGATGAAGGCGACGGTGCCGACGACGACGTTGACGTAGAAGCGCTCAAAGGTGGCCTTGAGCTTATCGGGCTGAAACTGCTCCTCGTTGCTGATGTACATGTCAAAGTCTCTCTTGGCGTTGCCCTCGATGGCCTTGACGCGATAGGTCTGCTTGTTGAAGCGGCGCACGAGGAGCCAGAGCGATTCGTTCTTCATGCCGTTGAGGACGGGGATGGGCACGTTGGGCTGCTCGCTCCATCCGAGATCCTCGAGCTCGGGTTCGATAGGACGGTCAGGATCGCCTGGAGCGGGGGCCGGGACTTCGTCCTGTGTTCCGGGAAGTTCGGTGACGCGCTCGGGAGCGACTTCGGCCTTGGGGACATGGTGAAGGTGCGCCTCGTGGTCGAGAGCGGCTGCAGGGGCAGGCACGGACTCGTGGTCGGCCAAGCGACCGGCCTCTTGCTCTTTGACTTGTTGGTCGAGTTTGAGGCTGTCAGGGTCGGTCGCCTGAGGCTTTTCGGGATCCGAGGGCTGCATGGTGGTGGACGCGGAAGCTGGAGAAACTCCGATGGCAGCTGCCTGGTCAGGATCGAGGACAGGTTGTACTGCCGAAGGAGATGGTGGAGATGAAGAGGGATCCTCGGAAGGCATTGTGGTGCAAGGGAAAAGAGCCAAGGATGATGTTAGGAAGGGAGCATGGGAGATTGGGACCGCCAAGAAGGGGAGGAGAGCAAGAAGGCACACGGCACGCCTTTGCTGAGCCTTGTGATTCTGATTATGATCCACATCTGAGAAGGCCTGACGTGCTATGAAGTGAATGTGCTGCGACCTCGCAAGCCACACCGCGCTCGGCATCCTCTCGATACACTGGCCAGAAGGCTTGGAACTTTCTCACGCCTTGGACGCCGATGTATTTCGGGGCGCATCCGCTATCGATGCTCTCACGGCACAGCGGCAGGCCGCGACAGGGTTCGGACCCTTGGCTCGTTCGCATCGGTGAAGCTCATTCAGAGATTCTGGCACTGCGCCCCGAGGCGAACTCGGCATCAGTCGCGAGGATCGTCGGTTTCTCAAGCTGTGCCCTGGCTTTCGGTGACTACTTGCTGACTTTCTTGCGAGGCGCAGCAACCAGGCGTCACTCTGCATGCGGTGGCGCCTCCACTTTGGTCGACATCCTCATTTTGGATACGCAACTTGCCTGCGACGTAACATTGTCAAATTCCGAACCGACGTAGTCTGACTGAGCGACGCTTGCAAAATGCGGGGAAAGCATGAAGAGCTGCAGTGCCAAATGCCAATTTGCGGGCCGCAGGTAGCCGGTGCGGAAAGGAAGAAGAGCGCCGCTTCCGATCTCAAACCAAGCGAGCTTGATGCGGAGCTGCGCATTTGCGAGCAAGATGGGCTTGCTGGCCCTCATGTCTGGATGTGCAGCAGAGGCTTGCTTGTTGCGGCGTAGAGTGGTCTGTGCGAATGCAGTCCTCATGCGTCTTGCCGCTGCTGCTTCCGCTCGTGCTGCTCCCGCACCAACCGCACTTGGGCGATCCACTGCATCAAGTTCATCCGCACCCTGCCTAGCCATTGTCCCTTCAGACTCCATCAAGCTCATCCTGCGGCCATCGACACCATCCGCCCGCTCGCGATTCTCAATCATGCCCAGCCTTCTCACGTGGGTGGGTCTACCCATCGTTCTCGCCGCGCTGGCCTACCAGTTCCTCTCGGGCCCCGGCTCCAAGGCGCACGACGTCTTCGGCCTCGGCCGTCCGCTCAACTACACCTCGCATGGCCCCTGCACCAAGATCCCCGAGCTCGAGGCATGCGAGGACATGTGGCTACACCGCCCATCAGGTCTGCTCTACCTCGCGTGCTCCGACATGAAGAGCCGCCTCTCCTGGCTTCCGGCCGTCGACAACCTCGACGTGACTGGCAGATCCAACACGGACCACATCGCCATCCTCGACACCAAGGGCTCCGGCCCCATCGCCTCGCGCATTACCAGGGTCAAGCCCGTCGGCTACACGGACACGCTCAACCTGCACGGGCTTTCGGTCTGGGAGATCCCTGCCAAATCGCCCGAGCTCAAGCCGACGCTGAGGGTGTTTGTCAACAACCACCGTCCTCCCATCGACCCTGTCTCCAAGACCGTCGTGGACGCCAAGGTGGTGGGCGCCAACTCGACCTTCGAGCTCTTCGAGACCACGCTCGGCGAAGGCAGGATGAGGCACGTCCGCACCTACGCCGGCGAGGCCGTGCGCACGCCCAACAGGCCAGCCGCGGTGGGTCCGGACAGCTTCGTCTTCACCAACGACCACAAGACCAAGACGGGCAAAGGAAGGCTGCTCGACTTCTTCCTTCCGCGCAGCGACCTCGGCTTCTGCGACAAGTCCGGCTGCAAGATCGCCAACCCGGGTCCGTTCCACTATCCCAACGGCCTCGTCCGAGTAAGTTCGCCCGCACACACACCGAGCCGATCATGACCACTTTCGCTGACATCTTGATTTTGTGCCGTGTGCAGAGTGCCAAGTTCCCCAACAGGATCTACGTGCCTGCGTCGGCGGACGCCAACATCCGCGTGTTTGAGCTGCAGGCGGACAACACACTCACACTCATCGACGTCATCCACACCGGCTATCCCTCGGACAACATCACCGTGGACGAGGACGACAACATCTACACGGCGAGCTTCCCCAACGTGCCCAAGCTGCTTGCCAAGTTCAAGGACCCCTGGAACGTCGCCTCGCCCACCACCGTGCTCAAGATCAGCCGCAACTACGACAAGGACCAGTTCTTCGGAAAGAAGTGGAACGTCGAAAAGCTCCTCGAGGACGACGGAAGCGGCATGTCCGGCGCCACCACCGCCGTGTGGGACAAGCACAACGGCGGCCTCTGGCTGAGCGGTAAGTGGGTCCTGTCTGTCGCTGACTCGCAATGCAAGCGGCCACTGACTCGATTGTTTCCTCTCTCTCACGCAGGCGTCATGAGCATCTCGGCTTTCTGCAAGGTCTAAGCTCTCAAAGGCCTCCCTCAAAATCCATGCAACTTGGAGAGCCAGATCAACTTCGCCTGCATGCATACCACACTGTTGACTTGAATGCGAATTCCAGCAGCAGACTTGACCATGATGACTGTGAGCGCCGTGCATGCCGTCTAGACCTTCTTCCTGCCCAGACCCGGCAGTGCAAAGACTGCAATCCCAATGAAGCCAGTGCGTCAGTATCTGCTACCTCGCCCTCACTTTACGTCGGGGGTCAGACTTACATTCAAAGATCTTCTCGGCGGGAATGGCGTCGCCTCTCCTTCCCTCGAGCGCGCTCATCTTGTGGCCGCGTACAATACCCACCACGCTGCCGGACTCCACGTCCACCACGGGACCACCCGACGAGCCCGGTGGTGGAAAGTTGGGCAGCGGTCTGCGTGTCTGGCTCTGCATTACGCTCGTTTGGCCTGTCGTGCTCGAGGTGCCGCCCGCTGCCATGGCTGCTGGCCTAGTCGACTCGGTCACGGTGCTCGACATCCGCAGCGCATAGTCGCCCTGCAACGCCGGCGGGTTGGCAGGCGACGAGACGAGCAGCTTGTAGTCCAACTGCGCCAGCTCGTCGTATGTGCCCACCATAGCACTCGCACCACAAGGATCCTTGTACTCCACCAGCCTCGCTCGGCCCCATCGGCTGCGGCCTGCATCGTCGCGCTCCAGCTTCACCTGCTCGCGCTCGCGGCCCGGTGGCGGCGACACCGTGCGATCGGACAGCGCAAGCCCCTGACGCTCCGTATCAAACGTGTACTCCGGCAGAATCGCGCCCGAGTCGTCTTCCCAGCCCCAGAACGACGAAACCGACAGCTCGCTGTTCACGTGCGCCGGATACGGCGACACAGGCAGCGTGCGGATCGGCCTGTTGCCCGCGCCAGTGCCGTTGAGCGTGAGCGCAGTGCCGCCGAGCTGCAGTAGAACGACGTCGGACGCGGGCAGACTGCTAATAAGCGTGCGCACGGGATAGATGGCGCCCGCACGAGTGATGGCCAGAGCGATAGTGTCCGAAGGCTCAGCGTCGGCGTCGGCGGTAGAATCCGATGCCGCGCCCTGCTTGCGCGGCTGCGAAGCCCGCAGTGTATGTGCGCACGATACCACCAGCGCACCGGTCCCGTCTCCGTCTTCTGACGAGATCTTATCACCACCCTCCACCGCGAACGCCGAGCATACACTGATGCGCTCTGTTCCCCTGCCTCCATTCAAATTGGACACGTAGGCGAGCAGAAGCACGCCGTCATCGTTGGCATCCTGCAGTTCGGCCTCGGAGCTGTGTGCAGAGGTGAGCGGCACCTTGCGGTCAGCAGACGGAGTTGGCTCGTACGGCAGCTCTATCGAAAGCTGATACTCGGCTCTCGACTCAAACCTCTCGAGCAGCTGCGAGATCGTTGCTGCCTTGTACGTGTGTGCCGCGTCAGCTGAACGGGGCCCAGGATTGGTCGAGGCAGCATAGAGTGCCCGCGCCGCCGCAAGCACACGCTCATCCAGCTCGTTGCGGCCGTACAGCGCGTCGATGGGATGCGGATGCTCGCGATCGACAATGTTGCGTCTCTCCTCCAGCTCTCTCAGAGGGCGCTTGAACATCTCGTCGAGCATCTCATCGCGCGACGGGATGGGGATGCCCTTGCGCTCTGCGCCGATGGCAGAGCCCTTCATGCGCTGGAGATCGGCGTGGTTGGCAGTGCTGCCCCTCGCCTGGGTGGATCCACTAGGATCTCGGGGTCTAAGGCCGCGCAGGAGATCCGAAATGTCGTTGGGGTTCTTGCTGCCAAATCGAGGCGGAGTGCCGTACGTGCCGGGCGCGGATTCAAACTCCTGCCCCTCGCGCGGCGGTGGTGGGACCGAAGTACCGAGGAGAGCATCTACAGAGCTGGAGGGATTGACAGGGACAGCGTAGCTGCGGGTGAGGCTTCCACCAGGCAGCGTTGCACGAAGGCGCAGGCGCGCCGTTCTCGCTAGCATCTGATCGACCAGTCCAGCAGGCAGAGTGGCAATGGTTGAGTGGAAGAGAGTGAGAGAGGTCTCCTTGGGAAACCGTTGAGGTCGTTGAGGTGAATTTGCGATGGAGGGTGCCGATAACGAAGGTTGTGCTGAGCAAGGTGAGGACAGGTTGGGTGGGTGCGCGGCTCAGCCGGTTGTGAGTCTTATGCAAGTCTCAGGGTGCTTGCAGGGTCGTTCGCCGGGCTGTGCGTGTGAGCGGTGTCATTTTGGGCTCGTGTGGAGGTCGCGGCCGCCTATCGCTCGGCGGCGTCCGCTCTCAGCCCGGCTGGCTGGCCGCGCCGCGCCAACCGTGAAAGGCCGAGGGCGCCCCAAGGCTCGCAACATTTCGGTCTTGCTGGCGTGCTAGCTGCATGCAAGGCTACGAGTCACCCACAGTGGTACAAAGCCTGCACGCTCGTGATCAGATCCTTATCAGATTGTGGCGTGCATGCCTTGCATGCAGGTCAGGCTCCGATTGGTGCCAGCAGGGCGGGAGAGACAGCGAAAAAATTGAAGCGCAGCAGGGCCACTACACCATCTCGAGAAGCTTGGAATCGCCATTACGCGTCCATTTTCTGATCAACCTTGCTCGAAAGAGGCCGGAGCGGAATCTCCTCGTTCTTTCTGTATCCGTAGAGTCCTAAAAAATGGCAAAAATTGGACCTAGGGGCCGCTACGAGGATCGAACTCGTGACCTCTTGCATTCGCGCTAAGGAACCCAAAGCAAGCGCGATACCACTACGCCAAGCGGCCGTCCGTATTTTTCCGAAGAAAATATAGCGTACCTATACAGTGCCATTAGTTCCCTGTTTTCCCAGCGATACGATGCCACATCCTCTGGAACTCTCTCGGCCCTCAGGCCGTCCCTGCTTTGTGAACACGATGCAAAGAGCGCACGTTGCGACCAAGGGCCATGTTTTCAGATGACTAGATTACAAGCTAGGACATCGGATGTGCAACGAGGCGACCCAAGGCCTAGCAGAGGATACGGGTCTACCAGAGAAGACGGCGCTCTTCTCGCTCTGCACGGGCGACGCGCTTGTTGAGACCCCAGGACTGCTTCTTGAGCTCGTCCTGCTGCTTCTTGGCCGCCTTGACCTCCTTGGGCAGCGGCGCGACGATCGAGATGAAGAGCGGGCTGCAGCCAAATTCCTTGGCGAGCTTCGACTTGGTGTTGAGGATGGGGTCCTCGGCACGCAGGCGCTGGATCATCGCGATCTGCTGCGGCGTGATGGCCTCGTCGCTGGCTGCCTTGCGAGATCGCGGGCGCAGCGCAGGAGGCAGCGACGCCTCGGCACCTTCCGCGAGAGGCTCTGCTGAGAGAAGCGGTTGTGGCTGGTAGATCGTCGAGCGCGGTGTGCTGGCGGTCGGCGGTGGTCGGACAATGAATGTCTCTCCCGAGGGAAGCGTGTGGC